TGAGCTTGATATTTTTTGAACTTCCCCTGCATGTGCCATGGAATTATTTTTCTAATAGTGATAGGAAATTTTGTTTAGACGATTGTGGAAAGTTGGCATCTTGATTAGGTTATTATTTTATCTTCTAGTTCTGTGATTAAGATTGTGGCCGCCAATGACGAATGCCGGTAGGATTTCCAATTCTCTCAGAACTGCCTCACTGTATAGTACTGTTATGGTGAAACACACCTATTCTATAGTTAATAGACTCTCCCACCTATAATAAGTAGGAGTCAGTCAGTGAGTCGATGTCGGACGACAGTTAGTCGAATACGAAAGTATCAGCGACCACGACCAGATTACTCTGCGTAATACCAAGTTCTTAACGTTTTGTACGTCGAACCTATTGTAGGACTTACTTAGTACAAATACAATCCTCCACTGCGAAATAACTCCATAACAAGTACTAACAGCAGACACGGAAAAGAAATTACAAAACCTCCTACAGAAGGTAACGAAGGAGAACGAGAAGAAGGGACTAAGCATAAACTACAAGGAGACAAAATACATGGACATCAATAAAAGAATGAACCCGAAATGTGATTTACAGGTTGGGGACACTGACATCAAACAGGTGTGGAAATTTAAAAATATATGTGAAGTGTTTTGACGGAGGACGGTAAGTGCAACGTTGAGATCTAAAAACGTATTGGGATGGCCAAGGGCGCATTCCAAAAGCTAGATAGAGTATTACGAGACGGGGGGTTTCTTTGGTAACAAAGAAAAGAGTACTGAGCTGCTACGTGACGTCTGTCCTCCTTTACGGTAGCGAATTTTGAACGGTCTCCTCAAAGATGAAGAAGAGACTCGAGGTAACGGAAATATAGTTCTACAGAAGGATGCTGAGGATATCATGGATGATGAAGTCTTGGAGAGAGTGCAAACAAGAAGGTGGCTTATACTTAACATCAGGGAAAGGCAGCTGAAATTTCTGGGACACGTAATGAGAAAGGAGGGCCCGGAGAATCTGATATTCACTGGTCGAATAGAGTGAAAAAGAGACAAGGGAAAGCAATACATGATATACCTGGCGGGCTTAACCAAGTGGATAACAGAACGTGCTCTGGGGGAGGAGGCAGAGGGACGAAACTAATTGAGAGCTACAAGGGATATATATATATATATATATATATATATATATATATATATATATATATATATATATATGAAAGGAATATAGTTTTAAGGTATGCTATATTTATGGGATATAGTGCTATATCAGAGATAGAGCGTATGTTAATATAAAAGTGAACATTGAATCAACACTCAGAGGCGACAGATTGTTTCGTGCTAAACGTAATCATCAGGCAACCGTTTATCGTAATCATCAGGCCTAATGATTATGTTTAGCATGAAACAGTCTGTTGCCTGTCGTTTTCAATGTTCACTTTCATATATATATATATATATATATATATATATATATATACAAGGTATTCGGGCTAAATTTGACAGGTTTTTTAAGAGAAAACAATGTGAGTTATAATAGTCAAAAGACAATTCACTCAAAAAAGCCAGCCTAAGCATCTAACATGGGCTCTCTCCGACTCCAGAATCTGACCCATGCGGCCTTTACGGTATCCCTAGGGGAGGGGGCATCAAAGGCCTCCTTAATCCTGTTGATCAGCTTGACCTTGCTGTTGCAGACATGCGATTGATGACTTTCTCAACCGCACGCCACATATAATTCATGGAATTACAATAAGTGGAGTTAGGGTTACAGACATTGGGGCTGTTGAAGTCGTGAAAATGATCTAACAACCTCTTCTGACTCTTCCTGAATCTTGCTGCCACCCACACATATGGTCTTCCAGCAGCCACTCTCTTCAACCAAAGCTTGACGACAGTGTTTTCAAATTGAGCCTGAGACCCCGTTCAAAGATGTGAGGTAGCATGACATCACCCTCACTGGAAACAAACCCAAAAACCATCACAGTTTAGGGAAACTTGGTCTTCAGAGTATGAAGAACTTCATATGGATTGTAGGCAAGCCATCTATTGTTTTGGGTGTTGTGCAGCTGATCCTGACAAAAATTTATTTCATCAGAAAAGAACCAGATTGTCCCTGGTTTAACAGGATGTTTCACCTTGTTCATGACTTTCTTTGCTTTGTCAGATGGTTTTCTTGAGCCTTTTCTAAAATTCAAGGACAGCTTCATGGTGGAAATTACAGCACTCATTTCCCGTGTCAAAGGCTGCATTCTTTTGCCTGGGTGTTCAATCACTTTCTCCTGCAGTTGTTGGATTAATTCTGGTGTACAGAGGCAATCAAAACGTCTGCTGCGTTCTTTCCTACAAATCACATAGTCTGCATTGTAGCACTGCCTTTCATGTCTTATTGTATTCATGGCGTTCAAAGAGGAGTCAGCAGCTGGCACATTTTCAGCATTTTTGATGCCCGGCATGAATCATCATGAGGCAGGTTACCCTTTTCCAATATTCAGATGGCTTCCATTCATCTATGTCAGTAAATTTTAGCACCTCTAACTAGGAGGAGAAATTGGAACACTATTAACGTAGATTTTAATTGTAAATAAATTAACGACTAAAAACGAAGTTCCAAAAAGAGTATAAATCGAACAACACAGACGAAACCACAATACTAGTCCACCCTTGCTGCTTGAAAATTTCAAAGTAACGACAAACTCGTATATACGAGACGCGGAAGCGAAAATCGCGTCGCAGCTCGTGACGTCACACATGACCATGCGTGAAAGCGAGTTTGTGGTGTGACCAACATAAATATTATTTAATCCATTGGAGATACAATCTCCCAAAGGGCACTTGAATTTGTAAACTATGTTGGTATTTTGCAAATCGCTAACGGGGAGAGGGGAAGAATCATTGCGAATAGTTAAGTTGGGTATACCAGATTTAGTGTAGTAGTATATGATTAACCTAATTTTTTTGCTAGGATCTGTTGTAGATATATTAGTATTTACTATTTTTTTAGTATATGTTCATCTTGTTTATAATTAGTATGCATTTGACTACGATAAAAGAGATTTATATGTTTGAAACTAGTTGAAGCAGTATTATGTTCTATTTGCTTAGTATTATATTATATATATATATATATATATATATATGGAAAAACAAATCGCTTATATATATATATATATATATATATATATATATATATATACGCGATTTGTTTTTTCAAATAAGTAAAAACAAAGTTGAAATTTTTGGAACACATGAGAAAAGTGGACTAGGAGAATTTGACACTCGTAAGAAATATTGAAAGGCAGATGGAAACGTCGAATAACCTACATACCGAGAGCTTGTGTAAATTGATAACGGAACATGGATTGAGAGAGATAATAAGGAGACAACTACTGCTACAAAGGATGGGAAGATGTCGACAGGCATGGTCGTCCATGTCTCTTCACGACGTGGCACATAAAAGAATTTCTTTAGAAGACGTAACATTATCGTTTGCATTTCTTTATCCTCAGCCGTATCTATGCACTGACAGATTCCGAATTCTTCCCCGGAAACATCTTCGGATATCTCCCTCATCAAAGACCCAGAAGTGTTTCCAGATTTTTGACACGCCATCAGCACGACGCCATAAGAAGTACCATCGAGAATACATCGTTCTCAAACAGTCATGTAAATATACATCGTTAAACAGTCATGTAAATATCGATTGCCAAGACCGGTAGTCCCCACTCCTCCGCTTTTTGACCTTGTGCCAGACTAATTTTAGTAATATCCATATGTAAATATAACAAAATTACTTTCCTTAGTTGCACTAGTTCAGACCTTCACAGCTAGGACCCGCCATTCTATGTACACGATTCATCTTCATTCCTTTTGTATTCCATTAGTAAAGAAGAAGTTCCACTCAGAGAGATTCTTCCCCAAAAGTGTTACTTTGTTGAACAGACTCCTGAGGGGATGCTTCCTCGATCACTACAATCTTAACCTATTCAAGTTTTGGGTCAATTGTTATCTATCCTACATATCATTATAATACGTACTTCTTGATCCTTCCTTGTAGGCCCTTATAACATCATTTTGTAACTCTCTACTTTGAGTGGCTCTTGGGCCTTGTATTGAGTGAACAATAGTATAAAAAAGTGAAGGTTTGTCAAGTCAATCTATATGTGGGAGACACGTGTGTCAAGCTTTATGGCTATGAGAGTTGAATATTTTCCCACTGGACTCAGTGGAAAAAAACTAGGATTTCAATGTTAGCAAGTCTCCATTGGGCAATTACGTCCATAATACACCCTTCTTAATCTCTCCACGCTTGGCTTGGTTCCAGACTAAATAAATATTTGTATAATTGCAAAATGTAGAGAAAAAAAAACAGTCTTAAGTTTTAAAAGGAGATTTGGCGCTAGAAAGTCTTCAACAATTCTTAAAGAAACAAATAATATGCGCTAACAGGCGAGAGGACACAGTTCAAGAAAAAGGAGAATGAAAAATGAAAGAAATCAAGAATTCGCCTTTACGTATGTATATCGACTAACCTGCTTGTGTTTCGGGCCACAGCCTCACCACACCAGGCATTGCTACTACTGTTTCCGTAGTAATGCCTGGTTTTTAGGGGAGAGAATTCCTAGTCTCACGCTCAACAGATTTTGAATTCAGAGTTGTTTTTCTCTAAGCCTGGTTGCTCATTAAAGCTGGAGATCCCACTCTACCCTGCCATTAACCCCTAGCTGGATTGATTGATTGATTTGTTTGTTTTTTACGGTTTATCAACCTTTTGCGGGTTATTTAAAGCCAGAAAATACTTTTAGATAGTAAGACATTTTCGTGGTGATAATGGTTTTTACAGATACAAGTTCTACTAATTAACCTATAGCTGGAGGGGAGAAGAAGTAGATTGATGCCTTTCCCAAGGGTATTTGCATGTAAAAGAGTATAAAAGACTGGAATTGGAACTCGGCTCTCCAGTTTCCAATTTCGAGCTGTTATCATTACACCACCCGCACATCCAAGTTTAAAGCACCTGGTATCCACATGCGATCATCCATTTAGGTACTGACCAGGCTCGACATTGCTTTACTTCGGTGATCGTACGAGTACTAGTGTTTTAACGGGATATGGCCGTAAACCCCCCAGCTGGGGAGAAAGAAGACAGATTCATAAGTTTACGAGGGTTGCTGTGAAGAAACGAACGCCAAGGGCTCGGCTGGTGTTATTAATTGAAGTTTTCTAAATAAAAATAAATAAAAAAATCTTATATTAATTATAGGTTTTTATTGGCAGCCACAATTTTTACAATATAAGACATGCAGTTGATACAGTGTTGATAGCAGACATAGAATGAAAAACTACAAACACTCCGAGAGAAGGTAATGAAAGAAAGCAAGAAGAAAGGAATAAACATCAACTGCCAGAAGACAGAATGCATGGTTTTTAGCAAAAGGATGAGACCAAAGTGCTAATTACAAATGCCGAAATTGTTTTAACAGAAGCCGAAAAGTGTGACACTGAGATCTGAAGGCCTATTGGGATAACTGTTATGGAGTGTGAATTTTTATTTCTTCCACCGCATGAATCCGAATACCTCGTCGCCAAGTTTGTTATGGAGTGATTTCACAGTGAAGGCTTGTATTTGTACTAAGTCGGTCCTAAAATAGGTTCGACGTACAAAACGTTAGGAACTTGATATAATAGGTAATGACGCAGAGAAATCTAGAGGTGGTCGCTGATACTTTAGTATTCGACAAACGGTCGTCCGGCATCGACTGACTGACCGACTCGCTGAGCGACAGACTTGTTACTCTTACTCCTCCCTTCTTATAGGTGGGAGAGTCTATTAACTATAGAATAGGTGTGTTCCACTATAACAATAACCAAAGATGCCTTCCAAAAGCTAAGCAGAGTACGAAAAAATAGGAAAATTTCATTAGAATCAAGGAAAAGACTACTAAACTGCTCTGTGATATCTGTCCTCCTGTATTGCAGTAAGTACTGGACGATCTCCACAAAGATGAAGAGGCGAGCAACAGAAATGAAGATCTACAGAAGGATGCTGAGGATACCATAGACTGGGCATGTAAACAACGACGAAATTTTGGAGGAAATGGAAACAAAAATGAAAAACTTATGCTTAATCTCAGGAAGAGACAATTGAAATTTCTAGGGCGCATAATGAGGAAGGAGGGTTTGGAAAATCTGATACTCACGGGACAGATAGTGAGCAAGTGAGACGGAGGAAAAGATCGCACGATATACTTAGTGAGATTGAGTAAATGGATGGCAGGGCTTAGGAGATATAAAAGAAACACAAAGTTTATTAAGAGCTACAAGCTACAGGAAATTGTGGAGAACCATGATCGTCGGTGTCCTGAGAGGACATGGCACATAAAGAAAAAGGTTTATATTCTATTAATGACTACCACCCCATTTTGGGGACAGTGGGCATTAATTACTAAAACTGATAGATAGATAGATAGATAGATAGATAGATAGATAGATAGATAGATAGATAGATAGATATGAACACATTGAGATAGATAGATAGATAGATAGATAGATAGATAGATAGATAGATAGATAGATAATGTTCAATAAAGAGAAGCTTTGAATGTCCATACGTTCAACCACGCATTTTTCTGTACAAATGAACAAAACCATGTGCGTATGTTTCACTCCGACGCCTGTGTTCGGTGTTTGAGCCCAAGTAAAATGCTGATATTTCTGGCAAGTAGACTCTCCCAACTTAAAAGAATTATACATCATAACGTTCCTCCCGCCTTGTCATCGCCATTGTTTCTAAATATTATTTAAAACAAACTGTTGTCAACCATATGGTTACTGTCTCGTTTAACTTGTTTGAAACGCCACACTTAGATTATTCCCTGGTATACTAAGTTTGAACCACACTGGGAGTTACACTAACAATGTATTATTGTGCTAGAGACAATCCCAAGAGTACTTTTAGCAATTTCGGCGCCCATATATGTGTAGACATAGTTGGTCATGGCTCTCCACGTCTTCTTGTCTCGCCTTTATTATTCCATCATTTGCTCAAAGTTTTTAAGTTTCTCCCTCTGTGTGTTAAGTTCTCAAAGCTTTCTTTTCTCATTATTATGTATGTCAAAAATTTCAAATCCTTTTCTGATTGTTGACAGAAGTTTCTCTTCTTTTAGAAAATTCATTCGAGCATGAAATACACGTCTCCGTTCCATCTCTAGACTTTTTCCGTATTAGACATGAAATTGTCCAGACGTATCGCTAGGAAGGATATCCTTTCTGTTTGATTTGAGGTTTTATCCCTAACGATTTTGTTATTTTGCTTACAGATAACGCTTCAGGTGTAAAAATCCTCAAACCTCATGATTCTTTATTTCGCACCTTTTAAGCATAGAGACGACCCCCCCCCCCCCAAAAAAAATAAATGTCTTTTCTTTTATTCTCTGCAACGTCTCGACTGGTATAAAAAAGAAATTACCAACCCGTTTGTCAGGATGAGAACATCTTTGCTAAAGTTTTAACTTTCTGAAAGTGTATCAACCTTCTTTTTTTTTTTTCCAACCTAGTTGTTATTAGGGTACTCGAGTTAATTAAAATGTAAGAAAAAGGCATGCTAAAAATCTACAGAACAATTCTCCCTTGAAAAATAAATTTGGTAATAATTGCAAACACTCCGTTGCGTAACCTTTGAATAAGAAGACTATTCGCGGTGGCTTAGCCAGTCAAAGATCAAATAATTAAATAAAAAAGAACACGCAAACCTATATTCTATAACTTGACAAGCATTGCAAATATAGCTTGCTTGATTTGTTGTAGTAGTCATAGTGATTAACAAACAAGGGGAAAAGCGTAAAACTCCTCAGTAGCAGCAGTGCTGCTAGTAAACTGACGATTTTAGTCGAAGCTTATTTTTACTGCTACTACTACAGGCCGGGGTTTTAGTATTATTTTTCATCTACCTTGCTTCTCTTAATTCTGATACTTTATTACGACTTCGAAGGCGGAGAAAAATCGGAAAAATGGCACCAACTGCAACTATAGAAACTGTCACCATTGTACGACCTCTCAAGGTAAGTTTTTCTTCTTGTAGGTTTAAAAAAGTGGTCCTTTTTACTTACCCCATTACCTGCTTTTCAGGTTTGGGAAGGAATGGATTTGTTCGCCTTTATTGTAAGTAAAAGTGAGTTATTTACAATGAAATTATGCTTTCTTAATTAAATTAAATTAGAGCACAATTTTTTGCAAGTTAGGAGAAAATTTACAATTGGTACCTAACAGTTACTGTTAACGAAAGTGTGGACCGAAGTAACTTGTGTGCAACTGGATTCTCTAGTTACATTTTTTTTTGCAGCATCGTCTAACTTGTATAAATTCAGTTCTTACTTTAAAGAATATATATTCAAAGTAAAAGGAGTGTTTTACTTTTTATTCTTCTAAAAAAAAAAAAAAAAAAAAAAAATAGAAAGTACTCTTTAGTTTAGAATAAACCCTTGAATTTCTTTTAAAGAGACTCGCCAAGCGTAAATGCTCCAATTATTGGTAACTGGTATAAAGAAAAGACAAATTACGTTCATGCACAACGCAAACACGTACATAAGAACTTAACCCGCATCTGTCTTTTAACTTCCGAAATAAATAAAAAAAAAAAAAGCTATTTCCTACAATAAACGGCTCAAATTATTTTTTTTATTTTTATTTTTTTTCTGTTGAGAAATTAAGATTCACTATGCATGGATTCGTGTTTTGCTTTTGTTTTTTAATGTGCAAAATTTGTTTTATTTTTATCTGGCCAGGCTAAAATCCAAGAAAATTTATCACAAATTTTACAAACTTATATTCGCTAACACAAAGCTAAAAATGTGTAGCATCAACTGGGGATTGAACTCCTAACACGTCTGTGAAACGAGCTTTCTAACAGAGTTACACTTAAAAACTAAGAGTCTGACAAAAAGTGTTCGACATGGTGAGAATCGAACCATCATTGAAAGACTTTTACTCTCTAAAATGCGTCCTAATTTAATTTTTCAGTCACAATTCTTTTTGATCTAGCGTATATCGGGTGTGATTATTTTTTTATTAATCAATTTTACGCTGTGATTATCCTGTCATGGTTTAGTTTATTTATTTTTAGAGTCGTTACAAAAAAAAAAAAAAATCTGGTCTTTCGTGTTTGATAATTTCATGATTTTTTTTTTTAATTTGTCTGTCTTTTCCCGTAACAAATATTTAAAAATTTACTCTTCATTCGTTTACATCGGTCATTTGATTTTTTAAACGAACAATAATATCAATTGAAGAAGCATTGCTCACTAGTGTGTCTGACAGGTTACGCTCCTGTTGCTGACTTTGCAAATGACGATTTAATCCGGTGGTGAGAGCAACGAACGAACACGCTTTGAAGCTGAGGACTGTTTTTTTGAGTGATATTCAACAATATTTCCCTTTCAAAGGGAATAATGATTATACGCCGCTCACTTCACTGTCATTTACACGCATGACATTTGCGAGTCGACGTTTGATGTGTGTGTGTGTATATAAGAGTGGGAGGATGCTACTCTGTTCTCTAAGAAGCAAGCAAACTAGAAAAAAGACCTGAAGTTTCATCTTGCATGCCGGGTCAGTGAGATCCACTAACACTTTCGTTTAAGAAAAACAAAATAATAAAAAAAAAAACTATCGTAATTCCCCATGCATAATATGCCTTCATCCATAATTTGCACACCTAAAAAGTGTGGGGAAAATGCTTCTACTTACGCATAATACGCACCCTTTGTTTGGTAATCAAACCCTAAATTGTACCTCTCCAATTTCATTACGGCCAGCGTATTCTACTCTTATTTTTAAAAAAATAGTTTTTTAAACATAGAATATTATTCTAATTTAGTTTTATGATAATTCTTTTATTTTACGGTAATTTAAAAAAAATTGTAGCTGTGCATAATAGGCACCCCTGAGTTTGCTGCTTTTTTTTTTTTTTTTTAAAGGAAAAAATGCGTATTATACATGGGAATTACAGTAAACATCGAACCTAGGTGGGGTAGGGGGTCATTCTTCCTGACGGTTACTGTAGTATTTTTTGTGGATTCTGACATTTTTTTTCCACGTGATTCCAATTGTCCGTAAAGCGAGTA